GCAAGAATATTACAGATTCATTGGTTCCCTCACTACCCCACCAATGCTCACAGGTGTCATCTGGACAGTAACCAAAGAGGTCTGTATCCTAACCTTAACCTCCCCAACACCCAACCAAGATGACTAAGGATATAACCACAAGGTCACGAGTTTGAATCTCAACCTTCTTTGTTTGAGCCGGTTAACTATGAGCAATCTAGGCTGGTCTACCTAGTTATTGCCAACTTAGCTGGGCAGGTTTACCTTGCTATATATCGGCAACCTAGCTATAGGTTGGTTTACCTAGCTATTGGCACCTAGTTGAGTTGGTTTACCTAGCTATATATGGGCAATCTTGTTGGTTGGTTTATTTAGCTATATATGGGCAATTTAGCTGGGTTGGTTTACCTAGCCATGGGGCATGGGCTACCTAGCTGGGCTAGTTTACCTAGCTATTGGCAACCTACCTAGCTGGGCTGGTTTACCCAACTATTGACAACCTAGCTGGATTGGTTTACCTAGCTATATATGGCAACCTAGTTGGGCTGGTTTACCTAGCTATATATGGACAACCTTGCTGGGCTGGTTACCTAGCTATGGGCAACCTAGGTTGGTTCTTTGACCGACAAGGATCATAAAGCGGGATATATGCACACCATCAAATAGTGACTGCGGAGTTTTTTCATATTCAAGAAAATTAAATATGCATGTATCTCTTTCTCTCATTCACACAGTAATGATAAATTGTTGGATTTTGTAGGTAAAGACAGTATCACAGGAACAGATAAACTTATTAAAGGAAGCTGTTGATGATGTAAGTACTGAATTATGCATCTATCTAGATAGATTTAATATGTGACACATATATACATAGAATGGTACAAATATTTGATGTTTTGAATTGTTGTTTAGGGTTATGAGGAAAATGCAAGGCCACTGCAACCACTGAATGGAAGGACAGTATATCTCAATCAACCATAGGAACGTTGTTGCCGGTGCTGTTTAGGAAGTATATGTATTGAGGGAGCTGAGTGATTGCCACCATTAAACTGAATATACAAATCATTTCAAACATAATAATTTCAATACATTATGTTTAATAATTATATATTTGTATATGATTCATGATAATGTAATTAAATTTTTGGTCAATCTTTAATTGAAATAGCATACATTGCTTACTTTTTATCAATGAGTCCTACGTTTTAAATGATCATTTCGTATAGGCCTTTTGGTAAAAAATTGGCCTATAGGTCAATTTTGACTTATATGACCACTATTAATTGTTTGTTTTAGTTAAAATATCAATATAAATATTTGGTTAATTAGCTTTTTGCAACTCCATAAGGCTAAAATTTAAAAAGTTACTACAAGCAACTTTTCCAATTAGCTTTTTGAGAAAGAAATTATACCAAACAACTATCAGCTAACAAGCCAATGTTACCCTCTAATTAACACAATCATCTTACCAAACAGTGCCATTGTCATTTTTAAACATAATAATTACATACGTTAGCTTTCAAAAATATATATATATATATTACATACGTTATGTTTTATAATTATATATTTGTATGATTCATGAATAGTCTCGTTATAAAGAATTGAATCAATATAATATACATTTATATATATATAGTATGTTGGAAAAGAGCTTAGTTTGTTACATGTGAAATTAAAGGTTGAATTTTTATATTATACAAATCAATATATAAATATTATAATATAAAAATATATTTCAAAAAATAAGCGGATTAGCCATTTTTATAAGATTCCAAGTTGGAAAGCACTTATACCTCCAATTTGTATACATTGTAATAGTCAAACAAAAATTGGAGAGGTACAACGAACATATATATATTGTGACAAATGAAAATCACAGAACCGACTAGAAATGAATACAAAATATTACGAGATTAGGAATAAATACAAGCTGACCTCAAAGTATTTGATGAAGATAATACCCAAGAGCTAGGAACTGTCGTGAAAAAGGAAGAAAGAAAAATTGAATTTTCTTTTCTTTTGATGCCTCTGCCGAAGAGATAAGAAAAATAAGATTTTTCTTCCTTCTCTATCAAAACTGTCGAAATGGAATTATGTGGAAGCTTGTGAAAGATGTGGAATTCTCTCTCATTAAGAATGAGCATTGCATCCCCTTTTTATAGATAGGTTCTGCCGACATAGAAAGGAAATATGGGAAGAAAGTGAAGGGAAATTATCTTCAAACCTCATCCCATCAACTTTTGCTCCAACTTCCACCCAAATTCCTTCTCTCCAACTTTCTGCTCCAACTTCTACCCATATCCCATTCTCCAAATAATTTGTCAGCAAACTTTCCATCAAGCTAACAAATATATTATAGTGAATATAAATTGGCTTGGTCCAAATTGAGCTATTTACCACACAAGAAGGAAGCTCAATCCCAACAAATCTCCCCCTCCCAACTATGTGGAAGATATCGCTATCCCGGCGATAGAGCAACACACCTCAAACTTTCCTCTTGGCAACGATTTGTTCATCATGTCAGACGCATTATCATCAGTATGAATCTTTTCAAGTTCAAGCATCTTGCACTCGAAGATATCTCTAATCCAACGATATCTTTCGTCAATACGTTTTGACCTGTAATGGAACGTGGAGTTCTTTGCAAGATGAACTGCACTCTAACTATCACAATAGAGCACATACTTGTCTTGGACAAACCCGAGCTCCTGAATAAACTTCTTCATCCATAGCATTTCTTTATTGGCCTCAACAGATGCTATGAACTCAGCTTCAGTGGTAGACAAAGCAATGCACTTTTGCAATCTTGATTGCCACGAAACTGCTCCCCTGCATAGGTAATCAGATAGCCTGAAGTAGATTTCCTCGTATCAATGTCTCCAGCCATATCTGAATCAGTATATCCGGTAAGAATAGGTTTCCCTATACCAAAACACAAACTCAGACTTGAAGTAACCGAAGATATCTCAGAATCCACATAACAGCATCCCAATGTTCTTTCCCTGAATTTAAAAGAAATCTGCTAACAATACCCACTGCATGAGCGATATCTGGTCCTGTTGTAACTTCTCACTTTTCTTAAACTTAATTACAATTCTAAACCAACATTAATATAAACTAAGCAACGAATAAACAATCTTAACTAATAAACTAGTGGAGATGTCACCGCCACAACCACATCTCCACGGTGATTGCACAGGCTAAGGATGGAACTAACTCATTAAATCACAATAACATAGCAATACTTAATTAAAGTCGTAAAGGGGAGAAACACCCCGGTGTCTATCACCAAACATAAACATCATAAGTGTAAGTGTATAAATGATACATGTAAACAAACCCTTAATATAAATTGGCTAATTTAATTATTAAAGGGTTAGAATTATTTAATGTGAAATACTTTATGTTATACTCTTTGACCATTTTCCATCAACTAATAATTAATTTGAATGGCTACAATTAATTGGTGATATTAAGATTGAAAATGAAGGAAGTCAGCAATACAGTACACATAATGAGGCTTCCAAATCAAATGTGTGGTTGTGGTTCATTGAAGATTATATGATGCTGATTATGTGGATGGGATGCTAATTATGTGGATCAAAGTGGGATTAATATTTTACTATAAAAGGAAGCCACCCCAATGAGGAGAGTTGCTGATTTGGAACTACTATTCTCAGTGAAAGGATTCTCTATAAAGTTATCAAATTAATCTGATTATATTATTGTAGTTTAATCTGGACTGCACAGACAGTACCTGGTATAGCTGAAGCTTCGGTTGAAGATCGTCACGGCATGCACGTAGAATCCTGAGTAGATGTTAGGAAGGTGTTGTAGTGGTAATGGCTGAGGGCCATTTGTACTTACCTATTGTAATACTCTTTTTAGTGAACATCTATAGTGGATTGGACAGACGTGGGTTGCCCCGCAGACGTAGGAGAAGGAGCTCCGAACTGCGTGATCATTTCTTTGTGTTCCTGGTTTTTATTTCTTACCTTTTAATTCTTTATGTTTATCGTATTAACATAAACTGACACAATTAAAATGGTACGTTAATTGATTATTTAAAAACCAAGTAGAACGTTAAGTTTTAATTTAAATTCAAGATTCACGGCACATTTTCAATAAGTCTATAAACCATTAAATAAACATCATAATAACAAAGAGAGTTTAGACTACTAGATCTACTAAGCTAGTCAAACTCGATCATCTCCCAAACGCTAGGCCCACCTGAAAGGGGTTTTGCAAAACAACACGTAGACAAGTAGGAAAACACCCATTAGTACGAAGCTAAGTATAACCACACTCAACCCTGTAAAGTACTATAGTATATACTTTGGAAAAACATTTGTTCACAAACTCAATCAAACAATCTCAACACTTAGACAACTTTAGTTACATCACAGACTTTCTCTACATGCTTGCAACCTATAATATCAACAGGCATGCTTCAACGATAAATAACTCATCAACATAAATACTCTAACACATATTTCTCATAATAAAACTCGTCATAACGAACTCATGCTATCAATCAATACGAAATTATCTTCATGCTATCAAGATCACATCTTGCAAACTAGATATATAAGACATCAAAATGCAACTAAAGCAATCATGCTCAATATACATACCGATTAATCATACTCATTATGCAATCTAGTGCAAACATTCTCATTATGCAATCTCGTGCAATACTATACTCAAATGCAATCTCGTGCAATACTATACTCAAATGCAATCTCATGCAATACTAAACTTGTAACACCCCTCTAAAACAAGCTATAACAACAGCCTTAACACATGAAGATAACACAACAAAACACTAGCACAGCGGAAGATAAAAAGGTAACTGGATAAAAGCAAATCCAAACGGGGGTGTTATGCCACGTTTACCAACAATGATAAACGCTACGGCGGTCAAATCTGCATTGTGTACACAACTATCCCAAAATCCATAAGTCTATCACTACATCGGCTCACAGGCCAAAAACAAGGGAAAGACACTAAACTACCAGGCACTAGACCATCGCGCTCGTCTAAACATCACCTGAAAGATTATAAAGATAAACATGGGACGACGCCCGGTCAGCGAATAATGCTGGTAACCACCAATACATGTGAAATAACATAAATAGGTAAGGTATAAGCTGTAAAAACCATTTTCGAAACGGAATACATATATATAAGTGTAAAACCAAGAGTCAAAGCCAACATAAGACTCAACACTCTCAACAAACAACACGGAACACATCCCAAGACCACAAGAACAACACGACTCACAAAAGAGTCAAGGCATGATCCATGATCACTCAATAGATCAAAACCCGACAAGCACAACGCCAAAGGATAAGACTCACACAACCGGCAACACATGCAAAGCAACACATGCCTCCGTGACTACACACGTCACGAAGAGAAGAACACACAACACCGCTACAATAGCCCTCGCGACATCACCCATCACGAGTTGGTATGCTTCCTTATGCCCTGTTCCAACCTTATGGCTACCCCCAACCTTATATCTTCTTTCAACCATTACCTCCAGGACCCCTGTACAACCAAGTCAACCTTATTCCCCGGGACCGGTCGTCCCCCACCAACGGACCCCTGTACACAAGGTACCGGTACACACATGGCACACATGCCCGGATAACACATGTTATCCCCCATAAAACGTGAACCTTACACAAAGGCCACAACTCCATAATAACGTCACGGCCACCACGAGGACCGCTGAAATACCTTGGTGATAGTGTCCCATACCACTAATCGTGCAATCCAGGTAAAGCCACACACGCATCACACCACAACAGGAATCAATCAACGGATCACAACGAAGATATGAAACCATACTCAATCAAGGAATGGGTCACAGCCCCAACAACAACGATGAATAACACAAGTTATCATCAACCAAACGGAAGGTACAAACAACACACACGCTATCATTTAAACATCGAACTAGCATGCTTATCAAACGGGTAAACCAAACGTAGTTCTGAAGAACACACAAGACTCATCACGGTTC